AACTACATGGAGCATATTAATTAATTATACAGCATGGTTATTTTCAAGAGTGTCAAGTGAATCGAATACATCAAATATTAACAAATTTGACATGGAGCAAATCTTTCCTTCACAGTTATCTTGTTGATTGTTGTGCAATTTGTTGGATGAATTGATGTACGTGGTTGGAATTCAGTATATATTTTTAACTTGAAATGATTTGATGTTAACCTGATATTTGTGTATCAGAAGTGGAAATTAGAATAATTTTTATAAACACGAGTTTGAAATATAGATTAGAGTTATATATCAAATCAAATATTGTTAAAGAGTATTATATATCATTGTTTGAAAATTGTTTTGATAGAGAAATAATTTTGAAAGATATTTTAGACTTTTGTTATTTTCTCTTTTATCCCAATCCTTGCCGTCTACTGAAAATAGATTTCATGAAAAGTGAATATCTTCAATTCATAAGATTAAACTGCATATCTCGGTTAATGTCATTAACTTTGCTCCTAATATCGATCCTCTCTTTCCGTAAAATTTTGGTAATTATGACTTGATACCATAAGGACATAATTACATAGCAATTTTCATGTAAAAACCACAAGAATGATGCTTATGAAAGGTGGTCCTAATAGTTACTCTATCTATTGACCAACCACTGTACATGGTTGTGATAGCAGTGCCCGCATAGGTGGATGTCGAACGACTATAATTAAGAACAGCTCTTTGTTTTGGTTTGGTAACAAGTTTGTTAGCTGAGAGTCTAAATTGATTCATTCAAATGGATGAAATTAGAAGTATTCAACACATATTGATTCATCAAAATACACTCGACGTCTAATTACTACATCCTGTTCATTAAACCGTTCCTATTATGAGAACGTTTTTGTAGAAATCATTAAGACTCAAGCAATTGGATTTAAGAAAGGCATATCGAGTGAAGTTTCTGCGAATTATTAGGTGGTTGGACTGAGGTTGGCCACAGAATTATCAAGAGGGGCAAACAGCATCAGGTTTTTAAGAACTCGTTGATTAAAAATTTGATATTGGGCACCAGAAATTTATAGAAATGAAAGTGATCTTTCACTTTCTTTCTTCATTGAATAGCAATCAATATCCATTGTATACCATTTATAAACCTGAATAATGTTTTGACATTGCCAGAACCCGATTTTAAAGTCAACTTTTACAAATACTCAATAATCGAAATACTTACATTCAGAACTTGAGCAAATCTATTAATTAACTGACAAATTGCACTACACGGCCTGTTTTCAATTCAAATCGACGCAAAATCATTGTTACTAATATTGTTACTGCACCGTTTCTATTGGAAACTCTTGCGGTTTTTTCTTGTTTTATTTCTAAATGATTTGTCATTGACAAATAATCTAGATAAAAAGTAATTTCTTTTTTAGACATTTCTAGTATAAAAAATCGCACAGAAAAGAAAAGCTTTTGTAAATTACATTTGATTACGAAAGTAAAACTATATTTCATCGTTATGGACTACTACTAACTCTGGGTCAGAACGTTCATATATCGGTATCTTTACCCGCATTACCCAGATCAGTATTTCAAACGATGGAGTATAAAACCTGCAGATGCAATTCATGTAAAGCATGTCAATAGAGGGTATCTATTTCAATATAAACTAGACACGAGTCCACTAGTCCGCGACAATTAAAAATAGAAAGTACCCATTTTATTTCATTTATACATGTGTATGACGTTTTAAAAATTATTTGCCAGAATCCGATTTTAGAATCAACTTTGAAAAAAACAATAATCGAAATTATAACATTAAAAACTTGAAAAAATCCATTAATTAACTGACAAACTGCACTATATGACCCGTTTTCCAATTCAAATCGACACAGAACCACTGTCACCAATATTGTTTCTGAACCGTTTCTTTTAGAAACTCTTACGGGTGGACAAGGACAATACATGAAGAGGAAAAGGTTTCGTAAATTACATTGTATTTCGAAAGTAAAACTGTAATCTGGGTCGGCAAGTTCTAATATCTGAATTATTAACTTGGATTGCCAAAACAGCAATGCACACGATGTAACATGTCACGAGAATGTATTTTATTACACGGCATTGTTATTTTATTGTTAATAAAGATGTCATAAACAGATATGTTTCATTCAGGAAAAGAAGCAGGACATGGAATTTTGTCAAATATCAGTATTGTGACACCAAATTAATATTGAGTCCGATCTATGAGCGATACTGGATTGGAATAACGCTTGATTGTTTTCCTTGCGTGTTATTAATCCATTCTGTTTCAAGATACTTTATTATTATTTTTAATATAAAATAGTTACTATTATATGGATTATTCTTTCACAAGAAACAGTCTCTGTCACCGTCTAATTGGAGACAGGCGACCAATGACACTTCAGACATCTAATTACTGAAGGTCTTGTATATTCAATATCGTATAATATTGCATTGTGAAGATTCCAACTTAATCATGGTATAACACACCAGGGAATTGAAAGGTCTAGTTAGGTTACTGTCTACTGAGCTGTCATCAGATATTGCAATTATCTCGTAACAAAACGATTTTCTGATTCATACGCCCACATCCGAGTGATTATGTTCTTTGTCATCGCCCTTTATCGTCCGTGGTATACCATAATCTATTAGAGCTAAACATAAAAACCTTCTTATTTGTTTAAATATTATAATAGTTCAAACAGATGAATTTGATCAAGAGAAAAAAATGAGCGAAATTGTCACATAATACCATTTTAGAAAGGTTCCTACACAGGGACAGTTTTTCCAACTCTAGCAAGATTTCATGTTACACAATTCCATTTTTATGTCTTAGATTGTAAAAATACGTGAATAGTTGTTGGGAACAAGAATTATTCTTAGTTTTTAGTCGCCTTATGCAAATAGGTTGTGTTTTAAAGCACGACATATCTTTGTAATTACAACCAATCTTTCAGATTGTTCAGAAGGTCGTGAGATTACCAAGCTCTGGTGTCTCTATATTGATAAGATTTCTAATATGTAAAATGCAATGATTATTATTCACAGCACGTAATTTATTCCTACGTTTTAAGGGTTTTAGATTACCAATCTCTATCATAAAAACTTATTTTCTTTTACAAAAAGCTATGTTTATACTATTATACGCCAATGTATTTTAAATCTTATTAAGACGATCTTGTATGAGCTAGAAAGTTTTGTTCAGTTTTATGACTAGCTTAATTTTATCGCCCGATCATGGCAAATTTTAAAATTGCTTTACATCCGTACGAATCGCCGGCATCTAAAATGTTTAATATTGTCGGCCGATTAAATTCGCTCGTCTACCCGATATAAACCAATCGGAACTGATGTGGATATCATGTGACGTTCAGAATGGCTACCTCTGCCATTGTCTATACCAATCACATGATTGACGGCAAAATTCCGTCGAGTGATATGCGCTCTAAAATATTCGCTACTTGTGGCCCCCTGTGTTTGCAGACGATTTCAATCGAAGTGACAGGACGATAAAAAATACGATCATCTGCCCCCAGCGTTAATTTGATGTTAGAGAAACTTCTGTCTCAATGTTTAAAGATAGTACCAATTATTTTCCGTCTTTTTATTATACAAAACGGTCTGTTTTCAAAACAGAAAAGCAAGCTCACGATCTTGTTAATCATATAATTCGAAAAATGAAACGTTGTAGTTTGGTACCCTTGTTGTAAATCATAATACGATTCTCATGTTGTAAACCTATTTGACGAAAATTAGATTGTAGCCAAACATAGTTGGAAAGCACTAAATGTAGCGTCGGGTTCTTTGCGAATTCCACGATTGAAATGTAAATAAGTAAACTATGTCTTGACAAGGCACCTTAAAGGTCTCAGATAAGTGTAATTCCATTTTAATGATCGTATTTTTAAATTTATATGGTAAGTGTTCTTTCTAGAGTCTTAATTGGATGATCGTTTATCTAATGAGTGGTATCTTCTATGTAATCATCAGAATTTAGATTTAATTAACACTCGAAATTCCCTGTAATAAAAACGTAACCGGTAATTAATAAGGAGGTCCTATTGAAATGCCACAGATGAAAAATAACAATCACACATAGACTGGGTACTAATCGATATTGGAAGAAGTAGCTGTCTGTTAAATTATCAGAGTTAAAGCACTTACAGTGTATGTTAGACTGTCACCAGCATCTGTACCGATACGGCGAAACTTCTGGTTCTTGTCCAGTAACAAGTTTCCGTTGAAGGGAAGAGCGAAAAGTTTTATACACGTTGGCGTTGTTAGTCACATTCATGAGAATTTATGTATATGAATTGCGTGAAGTTATAAGTGAAAAATATTTTGGATTAGGATTATTACAGTAGGAGTACGATTAAGTGTTGAGTTGTCGTCAATATATTTAAGGAGAATTTTTATGTGATTTTTTTTATCAGAAAGATATTGCTACGAGATTAATTTCTTCCAACGAAAATAAATGTGGCAGATAATAAGCTGATACATTAAAGGATCCAAGTATATTAATATTTCAAGAAAAAATAATTGGCAGTATGGCCCACAGCTGTTATTAATAGACAATTTAGCTTTGTTTCTTGGTTTTTGTTGTGAATTTTTTTTAAATTGATTTGAGTGGATAAGAATAAATGATCAATGAGTTACTAGCGACGGTTTTAAAATCGTGAAAATTTCCTCATTTCAACTTCAAGCTTGTGTTACGATCCAAGTGTTTGTGTTGTCTTAAAATGGAGATTTTGATTTGTGTATTGTTGATGAATGTATTGTCAGAATTGTCTGTGTCAGGTCTAATTAAAGATAAACTGAATATCGCCGTAATTATTCCCCAGGACGATTCACGGATGTTTTCTATCAAACATATCAAACCGGCCTTATCCTATACTTTAGAATATATTAAAAATAACTCAATATTACCATCTATAGAAATACAAACGTTATTTGCTGATTCAGGTTGTTCGTCAAAAGATGCACCCATAGCAGCGTTTCAGTTTCATATGAACAATGACGTCGATGTATTTTTGGGTCCTGTGTGTGATTATAGCTTAGCCCCAGTAGCACGTTACTCTCCCTATTGGAACATTCCTGTCATTTCACCAGGAGGGTTTGCTCATGATTTTGGTGCCAACAAAACCGAGCCCGATTCGGAATACCCAGCTTTAACTCGAGTTGGTGTAACTTTTAATTCCCTATCAATAACAATACTAGAAATTATCAAACATTTTCAATGGAAACGTATTAAGATTATTTATGATGGTAACTCAATGGAAGATATTGCCCCACGGTTCTGTTTTCTTGGAGCCGCTGCCTTCGTTGCCTATTGTAAGAAATATAATCTCGATCACGATTTCTATATGTATGTGCCAACAGTTCACAAGACGGAAGAAGTACTTAAAGAAAAAGTCGGCAATAAGTATAGTGGTAAGTAGCATTCAATATCAATCTGGGATTGTCACTTCAAGCTATCATTATAGAAATCTTATCATGCTCAGGGTTAGATCTTCAGTTCTATTCTAATTTCCAATATTGTAGATTGGTTTTGTTGTTTGATTCAAAGAAACGGCTTTAATGACAAAACATTGGTCAAGCAGAACTATTTGAACAATAAAATGCCCATAGAAGGTTTCCTCAAAAGAAATAATGTGACCATGAATGGGTCGAGAATGTGAAATGACCATTTTGAAAATAGATTTCAATTTATATTTTCTGTGATTTTCACTCGAGTTTCGTTAAACTGCTTCATTTTTTTAATGGGATAAACTGTAATCTATGGTAGGCTCACGTGAGAGAACGTAAGATAACATAAAGGGATAAGGATACTACTGTTTTCCTAATTGAACCTAATGCCACTGTCAATTTGAAAGCTAAGAGATTAGTTTCAGTTGTAAACCGGAAATAAAACGTATGCCCCTAAACCCTTTATCCATTTAAAACTGGTCGGGTGGGGATCACCGATCCGTTATCAGAGAAAGATAATTTTTTCTTATTAAAGATGGGTTTCCTTATTTTTTAGTGTCAAATTAAGCAAACCATTTGATTAATCAATGTTTCTAATGAATTATCATGTATTCCTAATCATATTATTATGCATATTGCATATAATTTTCTTCTAATTTAGCCAATTATGAATTAATTATGGACATATGAGACAAACTGGTATTTTTCCAAGTCATTAGAGAACCTTTACTTTCTTTTCATATAAGTATTAGCATTTTCATAAATGATAATAAAGGAACCCACCTTTAAACCTCATACTAGTGAAGATATTTGTTTCCGTTGTAAACCAATCTTTTTATCATTAAAGAAAGAATATTTCAGACATTTTTTACTAGAAGGGCTCGTTTAGGTGAAAACTAACAGTTTGGAATATTGAATCCAGTGGCTTAACCACTTGTCTCTGATATATACGGCGCCATGCAGATCCCTTGGCATTAACATGTACCTCAGTATACCACTTAATCAAAATATAAAACATTATGCTATTGGTCACGTTTGTTTCAAGGCCAAATAGCCGAGTTTGATTGATATAATCATACCTCCTTGTCACCTTCTCACATAAAACCCGTTATCTATAGTCATGTTTAGCCAATATTGGTATTACACATGATTAGCTAAAATAATTATTGCCGACCATTTTAGCAGATAGATTGCCAACGAAGTACACCATTTGAGTATTAGACGATTGATATGTGTATCAGGCTCGCTGAAAATTATATTAATTAAGAGGTGATTCACAGATTGGCTATAGCTTCTAGTGATTCCATCCCGATGATTAATCTTATTTACCAAAATGCCCGCATTCAATAAATGATAATGAGTTTTGTAAGAAAGAACACAAGGCGACAAGAGAAGATAGATATTGGCGAGTGGCATATTTTTATGACATATCACAATGTCATTTGATTTTCTGATCGGTAATAAGGTTTGCATGTGAGTCAATCAAAATCATTGGTCTCCACAAATCTCATCTAAGCCAGAGA